ACACAACATGCAGCACTACCCTGCAATAAAAAAAAGATAAAATTGAGTCATATGTAGGAAAATGGGTACGCTTTGACAATGTTAAATGAGATAAATCAGACATGATGCTTACATGTGACCCCATTTCTCTTATGTAAGAAAACCAGAGTAAGAATAAAGCGCAAAACAAAGGGTAGATAATGGGAAATGGGGAGCCAGACTATCCTCAAAGGGGAGGGGCCAAGGGATAGAGTGAGGGGGAGGGAAGGGGTAAAAGACGAGAAAAAGAATTGGTACATTCTATGCACATGTATGAACTCCACATGAGGAATGTGAGGCTTGCATACTAAAAACACACACAAAAATAAAAAAGAAAAGGGATCAACAAGTGGGTGGAAAGGGTAGGGAGAGGACCGAAAGGGACAGACAGTGAAATGAAGGTGCGTGATGCACACAGCTTCCCACAAGCGGTATAAACACTACCTGCTGCAAACATGTGCTAAGAGAGCAAAACTGGTTTTAGAAATTGAAAGAGAAAATAGCAACAGTGACCTTCCAAGGAATTTGAAATCATTCACAGCTGTCAGAAATTCATTGGAGCCATAAATTTATATAGTTTGGGAAATATATTTTTGGTATGTGAAGTAAAGAGAATGCTCCACTGTGAAAAAAATAAATTATAACATTTAAATTAGCTTTTGTCTCTTTCTTGTTTAATTCCTTTCATTCAAATAGTTGATTTCTTGAAGTTATCTTTTAAGTCCCATAAGCTTGGGCCTGCCTGGCGAGCATGAGGCCCTGAGTCTTATTCCTGGTACCAAAAGAGGAAAGAAAAAGAGTAAGTCTCATAAGCTTTCGTCATTCCTTTGCATTCTCGTTGCTTCTTTTCTGAATTGTATGTATTTTCAAACAACTTGCCTTTGAGTGTACAGATTCTTTCAACTGCTTGATCAATTCTACTGTTGATGCATTTTTTTCACTTCATTATAGTTTCAGCTTCAGTATTTTTTGTGGATTTTATTTATAATTTCAATCTTCCTGTGAATTTTCTAAATTTATTCATTTATTTTCCTGATTTTGTTGAATTGTTCCTCTGTTTCCCTGAAGCTGGCTGAGATTCTTCCAAATATTTCCTTTAACTTCTTTGTCAAACACTTCGTTTATCGCTGTTTATTGAGGTGAGCTGCTAGACAATTTTTTCTTCCTTTTTGTGATGGTATGTTTCTTTGTCTTTCATGTTTCTTGTTCCCTTATATCAACGTCTGAGCATTTGGAAGCACAGTCATTTCTTGAAGATTTTACAGTCTATTTTTGCTGTGGAAAACTTCTCCCTTCCACACTGGGGTTTGGTGTGAGGCTGTTGGCTCAGGGCATCCGTTCTGCACGGGTCAGTATGCAGCTCTGTATTTCTCCAAGGCGATCTGTCACCTGAAGTCAGTGTTGATGAAAATTGCGCAGATCCTTAGCAGCCCATGCTAGAGATGTCCACAGTGCTGTCAAGGTTGTTGGGATCTTTAGCAATGACCTGGTAAAGCCACTAGCGCAATCCATGAGGCTCCAGGTTAGCTGGCTCTGAGCGGTGACTACTTCAAACCATTGGAAGCTACCAGTAGGAAAGAAGCTCTAGCTCACTTGTGCGTGATATCCATTAACCCAAAACAGCGTGGCCACCAAAGAAACTGTAGCTGAGGGAATCTCTCTTGGCACTGGATTTGGTAGAGTCCAAATCCAATTTGTAGAGCCACTTACGGTGATGGTAATGCCAGTGCCTTTGAAGTGGCCCATGGAGAACCGGCACAGGCTGAGACCTGAAATACAGCCTCAGTTTTAGAAACTATGGCTCTGGAGTCCCGGGGTCACGATAACGCCGTCTCTTGAAACACAGACATCCCACTTGTATTGGTCACAGCAGGCCAGACGCAAGTGCTGTCAAGCGCTCACAGAGTCGAGAGTGGCAGCGTAGATACGCACAGAGCAAGCTGGCTCTAAGATCCCAGCATGTCTTAGTTCTGCACAGCACCAAGCGCTGTCCAGGCCACAGCAACAGGGCTCTTACAAAACCAAGCTGTCTACGGTGGCTGTTCTGGTGCTGAGACGGGGGCAGGAGCTGAGCAAACACAGACCCTGGGTCTGCCAAGGAGGAGCAGCCGTGGGTCCCTTTCTGGAGTCCCCCAGTAGGACTAGCTGTTCTCTACCTCAGTGACAAAGATGCTTCTGTTCTCTGCAGAGAAAGCTCGTGGCGATAGTGGGCTTCAGCCTGGGTGGCCACTTTCAATGACCTGTGCTTTTCCTCTTCGTCCTTAGCCATCGCCTCACACTGCAGGATGCTGACCTTAAAGTGGTCCTTTCTCTGTGGACATTCTCTGCATCTTTTTCTTGTTTTATTACTGCTGTGTGTTGCAGATTCATTAATGAACTCTTGAGTCTTCTTAGGTCTTTTTGGTTTGTCTAGATTTCTTTGTGGGGAAATGAAGGCTAGGATTTCCTACTCTGCAATCTCTGTCTAAATGTACTTATGCTTCTTTATCTTAAAGGGGAAAGAACATAAACAAAATACCAAAAACAAAGACAGAAAACAACATAAAAACATTACAGAATTTCAACACCAGGTAATAGGAAATTATTTTCGTACTTATATTTTGACATATAGTTTACATGAGTAAATAAGCGAAAAGTATTGAGAACAATACTTGAGTATTTAAAAATCTATATGACTGTTAACTTGTACTATTGGTGAATTTTTATCCATGAAATTGTTAGTTAACTTCTTTCACTAGAGCATGTAGAAAATACAGTTATGTGTCAGATCCTAGGTTAAAGCTCTAGTAACATAAAAGTGTACAAGAAAATATAGTCTGTAAACTTTCAGGAGATGAGAGGGGATGAGACACAAAACATTTATGCATTTAAAACTTTTAGGAACCACTTATAACTAAACTATACCTTGGGGACCAGAGAAGGAGCTACTGGAAGTCACTGTCCTTGTTGCTAGGTACCAGTGAAAATAAATTTATTATTCTTTGCCTTAAAATTCCTTTACATATATAATATTGGATAATAGCTTATTCTTAAAATTGACTGTCTTCCTAAAACATAATACGGACAAAAACACAGAGTTGCTTATGTTCTGGTCTCTGTTTTTCTAACCCTATATGATTGCAGCCACACCCTCTATCTGTTTAGACTTGGGCAAATACTGGCATCTTTTACAGCCAGTATTTTCCATTGCAAACTGGGCTAAATTGTTGCAAGGTGGATAGATACTTTGTGTCAATCACCTAGAGCTCCCGTCACTGTCCCAGGTTCCACTGGGTCGATGTGAGCACTCAGAGTCGCCCTACAGAGTGTGCCTCCCAGCCAGAGGCTAGTGGACGGTGAGAGTGAGTGGTTAGGCCCAGCTCTGTATTTCAGAAGAGTCTCTGTCCCCTTTTGCTGCCTCTGACATTTTCTCACCTTACTCTCACTTTGATCTCTACGGTAAGAGGAAGAATTTACCTGTGCTCTATAGCACGGAGGTTTGGGCCAACTCTTTTTATATATATAGTACAGAGAAAAACTAACCTATTCTCCTCCAATAATATCACTTCATTTTTATGGAATAATAAAAATTATACCTAAGGCAGTCTAGCGTTATCATCTCATGTGGGCTATTGTTGCAAAGAAAGATCACCATAAATGTTCAAACTTGATAATCACACTAAAACATGAACATTTCTCTTCTTTCTTTTATTTATTTGAATTCATACTTTTGCAAGCACTCTTGTCTATATAATAAGGAAGGGAAAAATCTGACAGCAGTTTATCTAAGCACTTACTAAGGTGTTTAATAGCGTGTTCTCATTGTTGCCAGGTAGGATTAGAAAATCAGCTTCAGGACCACATTGACAAAAGAGTGGAAAAAAGTAAGCAAGGAGTGGGAGAAAATATTTGGAAGTCATATGTCAGATAAAGTTCTAGTGTTTGTAATATATAAAGAAATCTTACAACTCAGATTAAAGAGACAAATAATATATTAAAATTGAGCAAAGGTTGGAATAAAATAATTTTTTCAAAGAAGTTATATAAATGGTTTATAAGCATATGAAAAGATGCCCAAAGTCATTAGGCTTCAGAGAAATGCAAATCAAACCCACAAAGTATCCTAATTTATATCAACTAAGATAAACCTGAAAATTACAAGTGGTGTTGAGGATATGGACAAATTAGTGCCCTCAGACCATGGTGCTACAGCTGATGAAGAAAAGAGCTTAGTTCCTTAAGAGCCAAGCAGATTTACTATACCATCCAACAACTCCACTTTTGCTGTATATCCAGAAAACTTAAATATATATTCATGCAAAAAAGTTGTATATGAATTATCACAAGAGCATTACAGATGTTATTGATACAATAGAATATTATTCAACCATAAACAGGAATAAAAAACTGGTATGTACTGCAACATAGATGCACTTCAAGAAGATGATAAGTAAAAGCTAGACACAAAACATAAAACATGGTTCTATTTATATGAAATTTTTAGATTAACAAATAACTGGAGACAAATGTAGATTAAAGAATGCAAGGGACTAGGAGGAAAGTTGAATAGGGAGGGCTTGTTAAAAGTATAGTTTCTCTGGGGAGGTGACAAAAATATTCTGGAATTAGATAATAGCAACAGTTGTACAACACTGAGAAGATACCAAAAAGCATTCGACTATTTCAAAATGGTGATGTTGTGATATGAGTTACGTCCCAGTTTTTTAAAACTACAGGGCCTCTCTAAGGAAATCCTTTGGCTAATGTGCATTGTAAATCTCCAAGATATAGAAGCAGAATTTCAAGTTTTTTACTTTATTTAACAGTAGAACACTTTTTAGTGGGGTAGCTATATGAAAACTTCTTTAGGATATGTTGCTCTTTTGAATGTATTCCAAATAAATATTCATGGATGAGCACCTAGTCCTTGAAGTAGATGGTTTGGTTTAAATGATTCATCACTGTTGATTCTAGGTCATTGCTGTCTCTTTGTTTCATTTCAGCTCTACTGACTATACCCTCCCCCATTATATGTTCATCTTTGTTGCCATGGTGTGAGAAGCATAAATTCAAACGCCTCTTTCAAAGATAAGGTAATACTCTGGACAGTGAGCACAAAGTAGCTAAGATGATTGTAATAGGATATGTGGAACTTAAACTGCGCAACGGCTTTTTCAAAATCCAGCAAAGGTTATACTACACAAAGCATGACATTTTAAATCTTTTAAGTAATCCGAACAAGATTAGCCTTCAGGTTATGTGCACTTCTCTGGAGGCTTGTCCCAGCTTCTCGGGGATATTTACGACAATATATCTTTTAGTATTATTGGTGCTCACCGGATCTTACAGTTCCACACTGAAACCTACAGCATGCTACAGAGAGCTTTAAAAATCTTGTTAAAAGGAAATAATAAAATAGTAATAGTAATAAACTAAAGGTACCAATTATGAAAATGGAAGAAACAGGAAAACTTGGATGTGTTCTCGTTACTGATGATAATTTTCCAGAACACAAAAGAATGTTGAATTGCAAAAACGAATGGAGAGGTGAAGAAAAATAGCAGGAGGAGATGGAATGCAGGAAGGGAGGTTGATAGAGAAAGGAGTAGTTCAGAAACGAAAACGAACTTTCCTCAATACTCTTCTTAGTCACATGACTATCATCCACATGAGCTTCTCTAGAGAAACGGGAACTCAGGTGTTTGTGCACAGATGTGATTTCTAATTGTGTTGTATATCACTGATTATTTTCCTTTCTGTTTTCCAGTGCTGTAACTGATTTTATTTTTGACAGGTTTAGATGCTAAGCATATTGTTCTTTTTTTCTTTCTTTTCTGGCAATGTAGTAAGCAAAGCCTGGTATCTCGTGAACCACATGTATTCCTTTGGATGAGGTACAAAAATCCTGTGAAGATTAGCAGTAAATCTTTTGCCATGCTCACAAACTGTTGGGGAAATTTTGTATAAAATAGTCTACTACTAAATACGAAATACATGTGTATCTTGCTAGCTATATATGAGTGAGTGACAAATGAAATATAGGTTCTTTAAAAACAGAGACTTGGAGTCAAGGGTATAATTCTCAATCATGCCTTCTGTTTTCCTCATTATGTAAGTTGCTTTTGAACAGAAATCAGCTCCTATAAGTGGAACTATCACCCGTGGAGGACACTCCTCAAATAAGCTGTATGTGATGATTCAGAAGCAAAGGGATTTCTCCTCATTTCCTGGCATACTTATCAGCCCAGTGCACACTCAAAATCTAAGTGTAGAACATAATTTATGTTTCATTTTGAGTGATGCTTTTTGATGAATGTTTAAACTGTTGTCTGTACATGTGTCCCATTCTTTCAACTAGACTATAATTTCTTTGAGAATAGTGTCCAAATTTTGTGTCTTGGTACATGCTGAAAACATCAAAATGTAATAAATGCTCATTAAAGTAAGAAATGTTCTTTGATTTAGAGAGACTTTTACACCTAGAAGATATACAGTAAAATACTGAGTAAGTACCATATGGGTTTATTATTCATTCATCAAATCTCCATACAGCATTCACTAGGTGCGGATCACCAGTATGTTAATGCATTTGTTAGGGTACCTTGCATTATCTTTTAACAGCATAATTAGACAACGTTTATTACCATCTTCCCACTTTACGTTTTTAGAATCTGAATCATAGAGAAATGTTTTTATGAACAGATAAAAAATAGCAGTTCCAGAATTCAGACCCAGGCTGTCTGGCTGTAGAATCTGTATTTGTTTCAACCACCACACTCTACTTCCTTAAATGGCCACGTCGCACTGACTACTGTAGTTTCTCTTTGCCTTGTACTAGACTCAGCATATATACATTTATCTAAAGCACTCACTGTGAGATGTCTGGGGCCTATTTGTTTCTCACTTAGTGTGGAACATGCCTACAAGAACATTCCACGTGGTATCGTACCTGCTCCTTTGTCAGCCTCTTGCTACCAATCCCCATCATTGCTTTGAGGGACTAAACAGCTACAGCTCAGCTTACGCTACTACCTACCCTGTTCTTTTTTCATTATTATTCAATCACTGAGGATGACATTTCTATTCTGGTTTATTTTCCTCTGTTCTATCCTGGCTCTGTATATAGTGTGGATACCTCTGGATGAAAAGTAGGACATTAAGTACTTGTATCTTGGCATTAGTTTTAGGCTGTATAAAAATAGTCCTGCATCAAGCATTTTGTGTCTACAATATAGCTGGGATGGGAAATCGTCATCATATCCCTGTTCTGCTTCCAGAAGCCACTCAGCACTTGCAGCCAAGCTGTCCTGAAACAGGGGTTCAGCCTGAAGATCTGCATCTATTGAAAGAGGTCCTTTAAAATCTCTTCCTCGCTAATCAGCACAGGTCCATTGTAAAGACCATTGCCCTGGACGCTGAGGGACAGCGTCCTATGCGAATATCACCATCTCATTGTCTTCAGTCTGCTACCAGCCCCAGGATGCCTTTCTCCACCCTGCCACTGGGGTATCTCTCTAGGGCAAGTGGGTTCTCCGTGAGTTAGGGAAAACGGGGCCTGGGGATTGAATAGGCACTGTAGAGAAAACCTTTTAATATGAAGCCCCAGTGAGGGTGGAAGATAAAATTCATCAAAGGGCTCACAACAGGCCAAGTCTCTTAAGAGGACATTTAAAAGACAAAGACGGCTTTATAGAAATACCTAAGCAGCTCGCAACACAGCACGGAGAAACTGAAAACTGATAGAATGTCTCATTTATAGAGTCTACTTATTTTGTTTAGCAGAATTACGTATGCACGTAGGACCAACCAGTTAACGGGAGCTATCAACCTTAAAGTTTATGCGGAAAAAGCAAAACTCACATGAAACTCGGACTCAGGCAAGTGCTGTTTTTAATAGCTGTTTAAAGGGAGTTATTTTAATTGATGGCCAATGGGAACACTTTTCAGAAATGCCATGCTGCTTAAAATTGTCCGTGGCCATATACCACTCCAACTTGAACTCTGTTTCCTATGTTATATGCACAGGGGAAAAAAGCTAAAAATAGATCCAGGAGCACATCCTACTGACTCTGTAAACATGCAATAGCTGAGCAAAGAGCAAGGAAAGAAGTCAGAGACCATTTTCAAGAATATTCATTCATGGGGCTGGGGATTTAGCTCAGTGGCACAGCGCCTGCCTGGCAAGAGCAAGGTCGTGAGTTCGATTCCCGGTACTGGAGAAAAACCGAAAAATAAAAATAAAAAAAGAAAATTCATTCATTATCTGGTGAACAGGACAGGACGCAGAGCAGGTAGTCATAACACAGTACAAAATGGTGCTCTGTGGAAGGGTGCGACCCTGGGGTGGTAAAGCAGTAAAAGAAGAGCCTTCATCTCAGTTTTAGGAGGCAGAGGGGTGAGCTTCATAAAGGAGTCAAAATCTATACATTTACTGCTCGTGGGTATAAACTTATCATGAACTCCCTGAAAAAGCTGGATTACGAAGAGTTTGATGCATTTAATATCTAGGTCTTAGTATTCACTGCTGTCCTATCCTGTCATTGACATTGCTGTCTTGTTCCTAAGTCCAGCTGCAGCTATTACTTCCAAAACTTCAGTTATACAAGGATTAAAATGTGAGCTTACCTCATTACACGTTTCCCATTGTGAGAGTGGCCACCCTCTCCCTGGGCTTAGGAACTTTTCTGTCTGATTTTTTGCCTTCTGTTTCATTATTATGTTTAATTTTTAAAATATTTTTTCTTGTGCTTTCTCCTCTTTCTCCCAAATTCCCCTCTTCTTTCTTACTCTTTCTCTCTCTCTATCAGAGACATATCATAACTGGGTGATTTTACCCAGAGGTTATTGTATTCGTCCCATAAACAATGGTTGAACATAAAGAAAGTAAATTAGAAGAAAAGGAAGTGTCACTAGGGTTATTTTTCAATTTTGGGAAAAACAGTTGTGGAGGCAGAAATAATAGCTGCATTTCTATTCCAGTTTCCAAAAGTTTTTGGCTGTTGTGTTTATAAAAAGGCCCAAGCAATGGTTTCCACTGTTGTCCCTAGTGAAATAAAGAAGCCAAGCAGAGACAGACACCAGGGAAAATAAGGTCAGTACAGGAAATATGAGTTTAGTTCATAATCCAAACAAGCCAATTGCCAGGCACCGTTCTGAGTCTCAAAGACATTTATTCCTTACTATTGCGTTATGAGGTGAGCACTACTATCATTGTCCATACTTTACAGATAATAAAATGGAAGTGTAGAAATATTGGAAAATATGCTCAAGGCCAAGTGGCAGAAAATTAGCAGAGCCAAGATTTGAAGCCAGGTGGGGAGCAGCGAATTCTTACAGGGCGCTAACAGGATGTCTCAGGCAGCCTGTGGTGGGAGACATAGAACTCTGGACCAGGGAAGGAGCCTAGATCAACAGCCAGGGAAAGGACTAAGGTTTTGTTATTGAGAGTTTCTGAGAGTTCTACCACCTTTACTCACCCCGGGCTCTTTGATACTTCATCTATTTTGTTTATACAAAGTACAGCCTTTCTATCAGCCTTGCTAGTATAAAATTCTCACTAGGCTTTGACATACGCTACACTGTAAAATCAGCTCCATAGTGAAGAGGGGGAAACAGGTTCCACAGAGAAGGGGATGGGGTGAAACTGAGGACTTAATACCAGCGGCAGTATCACCTGCAGTTTCACCGAAATACCCTAACTGGCATTCTTCAAATCAGCTTAGAGCTCAGAATACCAAAGGAACACGTCCGGATATCATCCTGTCTTATAATTTTCACAAAATTTAAAAAAGATTTTTATTGTGATTCTCAAAGTCCATCGGTGCTGTGAAGAGAATTTATTCTACAGTGGCACATCTAGAATGATTAGAAAGTTTATTCCAATATTGCAAAGACTCTAATACAACATTAAAGACAGTACCAATCACATTATAAAAGCCCAATGAATGCTAGCTTTATTGTTCTTATAACAAATTATGGACGCTTTTGATTATCAGATTGCACCATATAGACATACCATTTATTTTACAGAAAACAATTCAAAAGTGTATATTTTCACCTCTTGATTGCTGACACCTTATATTAGCCAGATTTACACCGCAAGGAAAATTATCTGGAAAACACACAGAAGAAATTTTTGCTGCTGGATGACAGCTGCTGCGATCAAGTTCCTTCTAATTAACCAATATCAAAATCCACTCATTCATAAACTGTCACGATCATCAGCAGGACAAATATGTTTCTCAAGCGTAATGCTGATAATATGCCAGTCAGTAATGCTCACATAACATGGCCTTAGGTTGACCAAGCAACCTTTCCTCAATTCAGAGCAGATGGAACCTCAATTGTACCCCTCAGGGCCATGAGGACCCTAGACCAAGAACTAGAGCTGCACAACACATAGCATCTCCAGATTCATCGACAAGAAAAGAGAAGACATTTTGCAAAGGGATTTGACATCCTTATCAAAAGAAGCTACACAGAGACAAAAAAGGATTGGAGTTCACTGAAGCATAACGGCAGTGCTTCTGCCCAGTGATCCAACAGAAATGGCCCAGGAGTCTGAATTATTTACCAGCAGCCCTTCTGGGTCTCTGCGGCCCCCACTAGCTTTGCTGCAGTGATGCTTAGTGTGCTGATTGCTAGACAATCAGCCAAAAACCCGCTGTTCTTAAAACTAGTCTGGAAAATATTATTTTCAGTTTAGTGAAAGACTTTTTAAGTGGTTGTCAGGAATGCGCTTGAAATGGAAGGAAAGTATGAATGGAATGGAGTTTCAGTTTTCAATTTCCTATCAGGATTGGAAAAACAAGAGAAAAAATGTTTTTTAGGAAGCATTATTTCATTGTCATTACAATGAGCAGTGCTGTGATGCCCCCAGAGGCCCTCTTTTGTCACAGTACATTTTGCATATTAAAAGGGGGGATATTAATAATTGCACAAAAAAGTATGTTCCCATAGACAAGAGCATTCATGCTTAGAGTGTACAATGCATTTTAAATGGACTTTTAACTTCTACACTTGGCCTTTTTTTCTTGTGAAAAGCCATTAAATGTCCTGTAATTTTTCCTTACTTTCCAAATCGAGTTGCAAAGGCATCTGTATAGTATACACACGCACAAGTATAGATCCAATTTAATTGGTGGCAATTTTGAAAATCCCACACCACTGTAGTAAACTGAAATGTTGCTAGAAAGATCTCCTCAAGTACTGACTTTGCCTGCAATAAATGCCATATTTCAGTTATCTGTATTTGAGGTCTTCGATTTTTTTAAAAAATAGCATTTATTGTTATTCATAATTATAAATGCCATTTATTGAGCATTTATTGGATCAGATGCCAAGCTAGGCTTTCTTCATACCTTTAATGTGCATAAAGGTTTGCAAGATGAGCATTATTACCCCCACTCAAGAGTCAAGGACAATATAGCTGAGAGATGTTAAGAAGCCAGCGTAAACCTTCCAGTGGGTTCATGCTGGGGCTGGGATTCCCACACTCACCACGGGCTTCCACAGTCAGTACCTGCTATACTCTGTTCTACTCAGAAGTTGACTAGTGCTGCTACAAAGCAAGCACTTGTAGAATCCAAACCTTCCCTGGATCAATGTTGGCAGAACAAGGAAGATGTGGAGAAGTTGAAACCCAATTTAATTTATATGGGTAAAAATCAAATCTGATTAGTGATAAAGATAAACTGCTGAGACCACATCTATGACAATAAAATTAGATTAACAGGAAGATGAGATTTGATTAACTCCTTAGGCTCATCCATCAAGATTGCACGTGTTCAACTCTATTCTATTAGGTAAGGGAAAAAACAAGCCAGTACGAAGTTATGCCCTTAATATGTATCCTATGCTCCAGCAGTTGTTGATCAATCCAAGTGAAACTTGAAGGTCTAGGAAAAATGCCTTTCACCAGGCTTGCAATAGCAAGGAAGAAAGAAAACGATTATTTCACCAACCCACCATGTCCTATAGTTCTCAGTTTATCTATTCAAAACTGATACACCAGCAATAAGCTTACTTTTGTATTTGGATTGTCTTTCTCCAAACTCTTTGAAAGACAAAGATGTTATCAGGAAAATGTACCTTGGCCTTTGCATTTCTATTTCGCATGAGAAAGTAAAAGAAACAATTGATCTTTGAGTTTGAAGTGCTAGTGGATCTACCGATACTTTCACCTGCTCCATGTTGCCTTATGGAATGGTATTTAATGGTGTGTGTGAGTGTGTGTGTGTGTGAGATCTGTGTGTCTGTTTGTCTCTGTGAATATACACTATTTTCTGTGCATCTCCCCGTCTTTCTTCCCCCAAACTTACAGGTTTGCAACCATAGATAGGAGCCACATTCCACTAAGAGAGAGGTAGAGAGTAAAAGATAATTCTGCTCTGTTCATCCTTGCTCAATTTTTCCACAGAACATTCCTAGCCTGGGAATTAAATTGCATAACTGTTTCTCAGTCTCATATATTTCATTTCCAAAGTGTAAGACTGCTTCCCTTGATGCAAATTTTGTGAATGATGATAAGAAAGGATTTCGAGGCATGACCACCATATTTTCTCTCAGTGTCTGTGACACGGATTTCCCTATGTACCAATTAATCTTGTTTTTCTTAAAAATCTGTGTTTAACTGCATGGGTGCAGCTGAGTGCTCTGCACCCTTCTTCAAATGTGAAGTCTCCATGTCCAGAGCACTCAGGGTCTGTTTAGGGAGCCACCGCAAATGAGAATAAATTTACACTGTGCCTAGGGAGCTCTGGTCAGAAATGCAATTTTCAAGAAGATGGTAACTAGCCTCCAAAAGTATTCACATCAATGAAACATGACAGGTGTCACCAAGAACAGAGATTCCGGGCAAGGGAAATTAGAGCCTCATGTCCCCACTCATTTGAGGTTTCCTCATTGTGACTGTTGGCATTAGTTGATGATGGTGCCATTTCTGATCAGGTGGCGCTGTCTTGAGCGCCTTGCTTTTCCAAGGGGCTCGACATTCCGAGCGCCACAGCATGTTTAGATCAAATCTTCTTTCAACAAGCCATGTTCAGGAATTTTCTTCCCCAAGGCTTTTAGTGAGAATGACCTGGCGAATTCATTGCCTTCTGAAACTGCAAATGCTGCTGAGGACAATGGCCACGTGGTACCTTTCACACAGCTGCAAGAGTTGGAAGGAGTAAAACAAACCTTCAGAGGAGCTGTGGAATAGTGTAACCACACAAGCCTCTGAACACGATCTTTTCCATAAGTGACACTGTAGTGCTGTGCTTTAGGCATGCTCCAGGGTGCAATGGCATTTAATAAATGTTTTTATCAGTTTGAATAAGACAAAGGAAATTTGGGATTGCAAACAAAATTTCTTCTTTCAAGGCAGAGTAGCACTATGATTTTAGATACAGAATAAATTAACCCCTCTAATTTTTTTCCTATTGATCTTGGATGTGATTAACCAAGAGAATTTATCAAGTGGCATTGGTTTTTAAGGAAACATGTACACATAGATCTCATGAAATGCACTGCTCCATTAATGACAGGTGACTTCCCATTGGATCTTCTGGGAACCTACACAGTTCACAAGAGTCAGGACAATGGTGTACGGCCTTTTCTCTGTGCCAGTTTATGGATTAATATTGCTTCAGCACTGAAAGCTTCATGACCAAAGTGAAAAGCTGGGGCCCTGGATTACAATGACACATTCCCCTGGGCGATGGCGCTACATTTTCCATCATCTGTTGAGTTTGCCTTTAAGATAATAAAGAACAATAGGTAAAACTATAAGCAATAATAAAATCAATTACAAATGTTTCATTGTTTTCATCATTACTGTATTTTACCAACATTGCTATACAAAATAGTACATATGCTTTACAAATTTCATTCAATCAGCAATCTTTATCTGCCTTTGTCTGTATTTAATACAAATCTATAAATATCTTCTGGTACTGGTTCAAACTCATTGAAGATTTTTAGTTTTAGTGCAAGCAGTCAAAATAAGAACTTTTAAAATAATTGTTCATCTATGAATAAGTGCACGGTTTTAAAAAATCTGTTCTTTTCAGACAGATTGTATGTTGTATAAATCTATGAAACTTCAAAGATTTATCACTCAGGTAATTTCAAGGCATGCAAATGTAGAATATTTTCCCTTGTGAGAACAGACAGGAAGTGCAGATAGATAGTTTGGTATGACTGACCAGTTCTCTTGGAAAGCATAATCTAACAGTGCATCAAAGACATCATCTATGGGAATGAAGTCTGGAAACAGTAAGTTTGCACAGCAGGAAAAACTTCTCCCATCCTTGGTCAGCAAGGATGCAGTTGTTTCTAAATCGGTGACTGTTTCTGCAGAATTTGTGGGTCTTTTTGCTGATCTCTCTTTATCAGTTGTTCTCAGGGGCTGCCCACCTGTGTCCATCCACTTTCTATTTTTAAACAAACAGCTGAGTTAAATCAACTTATAAGGAGGAAAGACTCATTCTGGCTTTCAGTTTCAGCAGTTTAAGTCCATGGTCTGTAGGTGCCACTGCTTTTTGCCCAATGGTGAGGCAGGATATTATGATAGCGAGTACGTCTTGCAATAAAACTGCTAAACTCACAGCATCCAGGAAGCAAAGAAAGAGATTCATAAGATAGAGATTTATAAGAGATTTTTTTTGTAGCATTAAGTTTTGACATTTCAAAGCATATACTTACAGAAATGAATTATAAGAAGATGAGGTAAAAGGTAAGTATGCCAAAAAGCTCTGATATTTTGCCACTACAACTAAATGCATTACCTTATGCATACTTGAAGTGTATATATTCCACACATCTTGGGGCACTGATGCCAACTAAGTGAACGTTGAGTATTTCAAATTGCACCCCTACTTTTATAGTCTGCAGGCAGTGCTTGCTATACAATGATTGTTGGCAACTGATGGAATTATTTTTTATTTCCTAAAATTGGAATAAACTATAAAGCATGTTTTGCCAAAACTAGAAAACAAAGTGGGCAGATAAATATTTTTTAATTGCTTTTTGTTTCTTTTTGAGACAAGTTTTTGCTGTGCTGTTCAGGCTCGCCTTGAACTCTCTTTGTACCCCAAGCTGGCTTCAAACTTATGGCAATCCTCCTGCCCCAGCCTCCGGAATGTTGGGATTACAGGTGTGTACCACCATGCCAGGTTTAAATTTTCTATTTGAAAATATTTTTTTTAAACATAGGAAACAAAAGTAGCTATGTCCAAATGAAATTCCTTAGGTACCACTGTGGTGTGTAAAGCTTTCCTTCACTGTCATAGGGGACTAGCCTTTGGTTTTAGAGCCAAGTGTCCTGGGTTTTAAAGAGACCATGTTGGGGCAGCAAAAGAATATTAAGGTGTCAGTGCTCTTTGCCAGATTTTGGCAACATGTGTTTAGGAGAGTGAATAATCTTTGTTAGAAATAACAAGTCAGAAAAACTATGTGCTACAAAAGATTATTTGGTAATTTAGCCCGATGTTTTCATACTTTGGCTGCTATATGAATTATTTAATGATTAAAGTAGATAAAAAGCTATTCATTATTTTGAACACATCAATGTAGAGCTCAGTTCTTTAAATACATAATTTCTTTTAACCTTGATGTGAATACTGTCCTTTCACTGACCAGGAAGCTGAACCTCGAGAGGCTTCATGGTTTAGATCAAGGATGTCACCCAAAGTCTCACAGGATCAGAGGGAGTACTCCTGTGGTTGGACCATGAGGGTGCTGTTCTCTATGGTGGGGTCTTCCACTGGTGAGTCTGGGGGCTGAGTATGCTGTCTGGAGGTGGGGCCTGGCCTGAGAAGGCCATGGCAACAGGTTTGACCTGGAAGGTTGGAGCTCCCTACCAGCCCTGCCTCTCCCTTCTCTCTTTGCTTTCTAACTGCCATGCAGCAAGTACTTGTCCTCTGCCCAGATCCTTCTAACATGGCTTATCCGCTAGGAGTCAGCCAGTGTGGCAGAAAATGCCCCCTAGCCAGTCTGTTATTTGCCCAGGTAACAGTTCCTGTTACAAGTCCCTGCTACTTCTGTCTCCTGGAAAGGGTTGGTCACTATGATGCATAGCTGGTCACCTTGATACATATTGAAAGAACCAATCCAAGACAGCCAAGTACTCTGCTTCTGTACTTCCTGCTTGTTTATCACACATAAGCCCCAAACCACCTGACATTTTGGGCCTGACATTTTGAGGGACAGTTGATTCCCTGTCAGTGCTTGTCAAAGTAAAATCAATCTCCTCCAAACCCTGGGTGTCCTTTTGGTGTTTTCTGCTTGCTGCTGCACTGACATGGACTGTAGCCAAGAAGCCAAAATAAACCTTTCCTTCTTTCGCTGGGGGTGTTGGGAATTTTGTTCCAGCAATGAGGAAAGCAACTAGCACAGAATGCAATTCAACAAGGTTCTTTGACAGACCAAGTTATGGTGAGGACCCTTACAGCAGAAAATCCATGCTCTCAAACACAGTCCTTTAGCTTGTTGACTAAAGGAAGGCAGAGAAAATATAACGCTTATGTTCAGAAAGTAAACAAACCCTATGGAAACCAAATGAACAGAATCCATTTCTCCTTTAGCTAATTCCCACAATGATTACCCATTGTGGTGCTATAGAATGACTAGTTATACTGACCTACATCACCCCAAGCCCTTTTTAAAAAACAATTCATGTGAAACAAGTTCTCACTATGTTGCCCAAGCAAGATTTGAACTCAGAATCATACTGCCTTAGCTTTCCAAGAGCTAGAATTACAGTGTCACCTTGCACAACTCTTGATCTCACTAAAATACTATTTACAAAAGATGATGACCTGTGTCCCTGATTTATGTTCATTTCCTGTATGGTGACCACTCTACTTACCTAAACTTTCTTACTTGTAATAGACAAACAATAATTTACACACAGTCCTTTGGTTTAATGGAGTTGCTATATTTATTAAAATTGATTAAGGGTGAAACAATCTACTGAAATATAAGTGCCAAAAACACATAGATTTTATTCTGTTATAAACCATATCACTTGCTTTGCAGCACCTCAATCCAGGTTAATCATTCAAGTTATCCCAGAAATATAATAAATATTATTGATTTTTAAATTGTGGACTGCTCTGAATACCATGATGAAGTCTCTTGCTGTCATGCTCTGCCCTACCCGGAATGTGAATCATTCTCTTGTTCAGCATATCCACACTGCATAGGCCACTTAACCATTAGTCCCCTGGTAGCCCTCTTGGTTACCAGATCCAAAGTTTAAATAGCTAGCCCTTGAGTTCAAATAACTCAAATTGTATTTAACAGTGGTTCCAAAGTTCAAGAATAGTGGTGCTGGCAATTTGGATATGTCAAAGAGAATGTTTGCTTTAAATGAAACAATAAATACTTAATTTAGTCTGGAGAGAAAAAAAATCCTATGCAGAGGTTGTCAAGATCTTTAGTAAAAATGAGTCTTCTAATTGTGGAGTTGAGAAGGAGGAAAACTGAACTCATACTTGCCTGGGTCTCCATCTCAACCTCCAAACTAGTGCCACACTTTACTGGATAACCAGTAAGAGTAATTCCTAAGAGTGTGTAGATATTGTAACATTTTGCTTTCTGAAAGATTTTTATGTGAAAATAGTAAGAATGAAGACAGTACTGGACAATTGTTAGGGGTGATTTTTGTGTTTTCAAGATGGATTTATTTGTATTAGATAAAAGGTACTTGTAAGAAAAAGAAAGATGTTGGGGAAAGAGAATTTAAAGAGCAAGATCTAGAGGGAAATGTGTTAACCTTTAATGAAAACATAAGAGGGAAGGGGAAAGGAAAAAAATTCCACAAACAGATCTTGAGGTAGACACTGGGGAACTCACTAAAGTAGGAGGCAGTGTTATTGGTTGTGGGCAGAAGAAGGAAGAGTTGAAGGCTTGAAGGGAGTTGAATATTTATTTATGTATGTATTGGAGACAGTCTGGCCTTGAGCTCAGTTTCTCGAATGCTGGGATTACAGATGTGCGCCACTGGTTTTGGTGGCTGAGTAGTCTTTTCTGGAGAGGGATGGAAAAGGATTACTGTGTGTCAGTGGTCCCCTTGATGGGAGCTGGGAAAATGTGAACTTGCAGGTTGGGGGAGCACAGTTCTTTCTCTTAACAGTACCAAGGGAAGAGGTTGAGAAGCAGGTACTGAGAAAATTCGGACTAGGACTTAGTATGCTAGAAGATTTGGAAGCTAATAAAGTATAAGTGTGAGTGATTGTAATGCTGAAGTCACATGCATCTAATGCTGCCACAACAAGGAGCATTATAAGTGTATATACCTCAAATTTAGATGTAAGTTTTAAAAACAAGATTTAGAACTTTTTTATATCATATACAGGTACAAGTTCTCTGATGAATGTGATCATTATGTATATCTAAAATTTACCAATAAAATCTAATTTAAAAAAAGATTGAGCCGGAGATATAGTTCAGTGGCATAAGCGCCTGCCTGGAAAGTGGAAGGTCCTGATTTCGATTCCTGGTATCAAAAAAAACAAACTAGTGCCACACTTTGTGATAAGGTAAATATGTATAGGAAAAATGCAGCACACAGAGGTGTCTCAGTTGCTTCTCTCACCACCGAGAAACAACAGCCAACACCCACGACTTAAAGGAGGAGAAGTTTATTTTGCCTCACAGTTTGTAGAAGTTTCAGTCCATAGTTGCCTGGCTCCAAGGCAGGTGGCATGGCAGAGGAGCATGGCAGAAGAGGCTGGCTCATGGCAGGGGAGGGAGAAGCAGAGAGTGATCATGGGAGGAGCAAGAGAGGCAG